AGAAATAAGTAACTTAGTACATGTGGAGAAGAGAGGTGTGCTGCTGTCTAAGTGAGGTTTTCCTTGGTTTATACCAGGGGCAGCTAGTTTGAATCTTACCGCATCTGTTGCAAACCCAAAGAAATTATTTTATGCTGGAAGGATTTGGCTCTTTTTCCTTCAATTGTATCACTTGCTATAATAAATGTAGCATAGACAAAATGGCGATTTATAAAATCTTCAGTTCCACTGAGACATATTTCAGGAACTGTCAATTGCTGTTATAACTTTTCAACGCTGGAATTCCGTAATTCTACCTGCTTTATGATTTAGTCACAAATAGCGTTTTCAAACTAAGATAAACACTATAAAGACTTAATTTTCTGGTTTTGTAAATACTTGTTATTACTTTTGATTCTGATGTTTGAAGTTTTCTTAGTTTAATGTCTAACAATAAGTTTGCATAGTCACATTTTTGAGGGACCATTTTGAGTCTTTGATCATAGTATGTAAAGTGAATGAATAAGGTGATGCAAATACATATGTTAAAAAGAGATGGTAACTCGTGTGGGCATGGAGATAGCTGTATGTGACAAATTATGTGTGTTGCAAAGGCTACATTAGTATTTCTGCTCAAAAGCTGTTACAGTTTTCAATACATTTTCCTTACAATGTGAAAAGACCTGTCTAGGATGTGGCCCATGTTATGAAAGCACAGATTTGTGTTCTCTGGGAAAAGCAGTGGTCTAATTTTTTTTTCCCAAAACCATCATCAGAGGTGGCTGAGAGAATGCAGGCAACAAGAAAATCTATAAATAGGAAATATAACAGTTATTTTGTAATGTGTAAAAATTTGTATTACAAAATCAGGAACTGATAATACAAGTGTACAAAACTGTGAAGAGTTCAGAAAGGTATGTTTAATCTTTGCAACTACATGTTCAAATGTGCAAAATTTTTTTACCAAATACTGGATTTTTATTTATCTCTATTCACACGTGAAGTGTGAACACAACCAACGTAAGAGCCTTCCTTTTGGTCCTTTAGTAGTGGCACTCTGCCCTGACTAATTTGAATGCTCTGCAATGCTTCCCACGTACTGACATTGCCAAATCTTTTAGAAGTAGCATGTAGGGGCCCTAAGTGCTGCACTGAGATACTCAGGACTCTGGCCCAGGGATGCACAGTTTGGAAAAGGTCAGGAGAATAGGACTCCTGCGGGTAATATGCCACCTGCGCATCACACAGGTAGCTGAGGTGCACAGCGGAGTGGATTTCACTGAACAGTTCTTCTTTTCTGTGTCAGGCAGTTGCTTGGGCTGTAGCATCCAGAGGATCCTCCACAGGATTGCTGGCTTTCCTTAACATATCTATGGGTTCATTTTGGTGGGTTTCGTAACCAAGTTAAGAAGAGAACTGCAGCTTAGTGGGGTGTTTAATTGTTTGTAATTAAAAGTCTTAGTCATAACTGTAAAACAGGAGTTGATGAAGAGCTGAATGGTCTAGTGTAAAGTAGTCTCTTCTGCAGACACCTCTTTTCAGGCATTCTCAGCCTGATTTCTGCCCACCCAGTGTAACATCACTGACTGCGCTGCACTTACTTCTGATTTACACCAGGGTGAGTATATAAAAACCTTTGGGGCATTCAAGGCCCATGTTTAACAAGTAATTTCTGCCTTTTTTAGTACAATGAACTGACATCTCAGACTGTGAGAAGTTTGAGCTCTGGATCCTTTGCTGTCACAGTATCAAAGTTTCTGTTTTATCACTGGCCTGTTTGCTTGAATTGAAGATTTTATTCTGATGGTTATTAATTTCCATGTGTTCACATAATCAGGCACTTGTGAACTAATAAAATTCCAAGTGCAATACTATATTGCTGAAGGCAATGAAAGCTCAACATGACACGAAGACTCTAATATTCAAACTGTAATACAAGACAAAGAAAAACTATTAATATTATTCTACTCCATTTTCAGACTTTTGATAAAGACCCTGTCTGACTCTCTTTTATCAGACAATTCAAAGGAATACATGACAGGGACCTGCAGGATTGGACCCTAAGAAATTAAAATATTTTAGGATTATTTCAGTTTTAATAAGGATGTTAAGACTTTGCAAAGTTCTTGCAAGGATGATCAATGAACTGACTCGTTTCCAAGAGAACAACAATCTGCAGTGCTATAAACCTCTATAATGTTAGCACTTTACAGGTAAGGAACCCACATTCCCTGACAGTGTTTATCATTCTTTTTTTTGTTGTTGGAAAAGGTTTCCATCCATTTTCTTTTTCTCCTTGTCCTTCACAGTTTCATATAATTTAATTTCCTTGCAGTATTACAGTAACTCTTGACAAAAATAGAACATGACACATTTCTAAGCATTATTGACATAGCAATAGAAAATAAGAAATTTTTGAGGGATTTATTTTGGAACAGAGAGTAAGTCACAGGCTGTGCCATGTTGATGTACTATTTCCTCAGGTGCCATCCTGGCTGGAACAGCTCTGCCAACACACAGTCTCAGTTCTGTTTAGTTTTTCAGTAACAAACCTAAATCAAATCGGGGTAAAAAACCAAGAGAAGAGAAAATTTGTGGGAATTTTGACTCTGCTGGCAAAACAAGTCTACATGGGGGAGAAATTCCCAATAAAAATTTAAAGCCTAGTTCCCTAAGGCTTTTCAGCGTGGTGTAGAAATATTCAGGTATTCTGCTCTGCCAACCTGTGAAACACAGCCTCACCTCTGTGCAAGCTCTAACATAAATTCCTGTTAGCTGCACAGGAGATAGTTTTGTGGTAAAGGAACAACCCATGTACTTGCACTTGCAGAATGTTTTCTCTCTGAGGAGTGTGGAGAAGTAAGGTCAGCAAGCTGTGTGCATTACATTTGTATGTGCTACACTATTACCAACCGATCACCTAAATGGGCATGGTTTGGGGGTTTCTGTGCAAACAACTATTGCAGAATTTCTTACGAAACACAGGCATTTTTTATGAAGTGTTGAACATCCATTCATGAAAAATCACATCCCGCCTGAAACATGCTTTTTATCACAAAGTCACTGTTTGTAAAATCTAGATGATGGGCCTGAGCTAAAATGAAAAATTAACTTTTTCGTTGCTTTTTCACATTGTATTTCATGGTGGTATTTGTTGAGTTAGATAATGGTAAGTGAATGAGGGTTCATTTGGGTTTTACTTCTGGAATTTCAGTAACTATTAGTGCTCTTAATGAAGTAAAATGTTACTTTAAATTGTTAGAGTCTTAGAAGAATAAGTTCGTTTGGAAGCAACTTTATTGACTTCAGTAGGATTGATCTTGGTAGAGTTCATTTTGACTTACCAAATATATTATTATTTTCTGAGCAAGTTAATAAGAAATGTGTGTTAAAGATGCTTCTTTTATAGTTAGAGGGGGAAAAAAATCCAATCATCAATTTAAACTTCTCTGATCTTCGAAAGCACATGGTAATAATTAGGCACTGATTGGCAACCTTCTTATTCAGATAGGTTAATTACAGTTGTACGTTGGAAGGGAAAATGTTTCTCTGTTGGCTCTTTGCATTAGTCTCAAATATTCAGGATATCAGATAGGGAGAAGTATGTACATGTCATGCCCAGTTCTTACCTATTGCTCTGAACTTTTTAGGACCATTTAGGTGTATGTTCATCAAAGTTGTTTGATGTATACTTAAGATCATAGAAGAAAAAGGGCCAAGTTACGTGGTAATTTTGGCAGTCCTTTAGTTTAAAATGAGCGAAATAAGAAAACTAAGATCTCATTATGAAATCAGTAATAATTCTGCTTCCCAGTAATAAGAACAGCTATTAGAAAGGGTTACTGTCTTGTTACTGACTTCAGAAGTTTTACCGTATTTTAGCTGTGCTGTAAAGAAAAAGCACATTTTGCCTGGAAAAAAAATAGCAGTTAATATAAGTTAAAAATAAAATAATTTATTTTAGATCAAAAAATAATGGCTTATTAAAGAAGGTATATTGACCATATTGAGGTTTAGGGTGCATTAAGCAATTAAAAGATCATACAGTTTTTGTTGTAGTGGCATTGACATGTTCATAGGTGAGCCAAATTGAGCAGAAACCCTCCTTCTTCTGCTGCGTCTGTTGTCAAAAAAGATACTCTTCTAAAAGTACTCTGTTACTGAAACAGAAAAGATAACAAAGCAAAATAGCAAAGCAATTAGCTTATTGATAATATATAAGCAGTGTTCTTTTTCCTGATTATATTATTTTGAATTTTCCCACCTGTTGAACTCAATAGAAATTACTTCTTGAAATGACTGAAGTTCAGCAAAGCTTCTTTCTCATAAATGCATTACCAGGCAGTGGGGTGGATTGTGTACGTGTGGAAGGCTGGGGAGATTCATGCGTGTAATTCTGTAAAACAAAATCAATAAAGCTGATGACAGATTAAGTTGCTAAATTTTGTAAAACTAGACTACTGTTCGGGTCATCAGCACAGCACTATTGGATTTTCTATGGTTTAATGCTGAAAAACAGGATTATTGATTTTAGGATTTTCAGCGTATCCCCTCTGGGAGTTCTTAAGCAGTCTTTATAATTCTTCACACTTAAGTTGACAACTACAGTGACATAACTGTGTCCTCGCCTTAGTAATCATTTTCTAATCATATTGGAAAAGACTGGAAATGGTTTATAAAATGATTATTCCGGACAAACAGGGGAACAGGAGGGTTGTCGGGATGTCGCTTCTTTGTCTGGTGGTCATTGCTACCTGCCTGCCATCTTCCCTTGGAATTAACTTACAGTCACAGATTAAGACCTTTGACTGTCATAAATCTGCTTCCCAATATGTTTGACTGGCAGGGGAGTTCACAAGCCGTCCCAATATAAATAGGATTTTAGCACATCAGGTGCCGCTCCGAAGTAAAACGGGCTGTTTTGCAGTCGACTTTGTTGGTGTATATTCATCGCTCCTCTCCCGACCCATGTGTATGCATGCCTGCGTGTGTATGCATGTGTGTGTGTACGTAAAGTAGAAGCTGAGATAGGCTAACAAAATGAACTACTGTATGCAAGAAATATATGAAGTGCACCCAGCTGCTGGTAGCAATTGCTACATGCAGTCCACTGATTATTGCACATATATTGAAGAGAATCAGGGTTACAGCAGTTGTGATGCTCAGGTCCTGCACAGTAACAACATATATATGGAACAGGCCTGGGCGGTGAATCAGCCTTATACCTGTAGTTACCCTGGAAACGTGTTTAAAAGCGAGTACTCTGACATGGACATGGCCCTGAATCAGTACAACCAACCTGAATATTTCACAGAAGAAAAACCTACTTTTTCTCAAGTGCAGTCGCCATCGTACTCTCAGAAGAAAGGTAGGGGCATTTTATTTAAATAACAAAAAAAAATAATCTCTGTTTTTGTTTTTGTTTTGCTTTAAACTTACAGTTGCATCAGTTGGCTCAGATGCATCTTTGAATGTGAAGGCTGCCTGTTCAAAATTGAAAGCAGCAGTAATGTAGGTTGCTAGGTGATCGTAAGGTTTTCTGTGAGCGATGAGGATTTCCAAGCACTTTTTCTTAATCTATAAGAGACATTTGCAAATACATTGCTTGTTTTCTTCTTTCTGGGGCTATTAAGTTTGTTTGCTATTCACCAGTGAGCTAGATAAGAAAGTTTCTCTTCTGAAATGTCGTCATTATATATTCTATGTCTTAAAGCTGTGTTTCTGGTTACATACAAACAGTATAAGTCCTCGTTTTCAGTAAATGTGAACTCTGTTTACTCAACAACTCAGGCAAAAGGTTTTGAAAATAGAACTGTAAATATGTAGGGGGAAATGAGTTACTGTCTTCTAAGTGAAAACCATGTAGTTTCTGATTATGCAAAGCAAAAAAGACTGAGAATTCAAGAATATACCTGTGTAAGAAAGACTACTCTGCATGCAGAAAGTTGATATAATCAATATGTTTGTGAAGGGCAATTAGAGTGCAATGTCTGCTCCCTCTCAGGGTTAAATTGTTTTAGAATTTACTCTTTTGCCTTCAAGTAAGTAAAGGGGATTTAAAAAGAGCCCCAAAATACCAACAAACACTTAGAAATGTTTTCGGTGTGTTTTTTTCTGAACTCAGCCAAACTGACGCATACAGAGTATATGTCTTCCGTGTTTCTTTAAAATCACATTATTAAAGAATAAAAATAAACTGTCTATTATACCACAATAATCTTTTTTTTCTGTTAAGACCAGATTTTCTGCATGCAGTTGTCCAAAAACCAGATGAATCTGATGTAATTAGGTGGATAGGGAAAACACCATTTACTACTTTTAAGGTAGCTTTGTAGTGAAAAGTAGACTGTGTAATTTTATTAACTACATGGAAAACTGAAATATTTTCCTTTGGGCAGGCAATATTCATTAGTACTTGGTGCAATAAATCTGTATGGTCGGTAGAAAAATGTCTTAATTTTATACTTCAAACAGCATCATATTTCATAATAAGGAAATGGTTTTTTAAATCGTTTTCTGGGAAGCTGTAACAACATCATCAAATTGTAGACTAAATGTAGTTGTGGATAATGCATGTTTTTATGTTTTGCAACATTTTTGGTGCTTTTTAAGTCTATCTGCTGTTGTGTTTTGTATAAATGAATTCACGGCTCTTTGTAGACTTTTCCTATGTCTTATTTTCAGTTAAAGAAAAAGTTTATCTCAGGATTAACTTAGAAAAAATAAAGATTTGTTAATGCAAAGTCAGTGAAGGAATATATTTTTCGTAAGTTTAAAGGTTATAAATAATAATCGATAGACTTAGGTCAGAGCTTTAAGTTTTTTCGGTACTCAGACATCTGACATCTGCTCTGTTTAAAGTTTTCGTACTTGTTTGGTTGAAAGAGTACAGAGTTGTTCTTAAAAACTGTGTGTCTGCCTTTGTTTCCTACCACCTCCGTTTCACTAAGAAATGGTGGTGAATTTTGGAGGAAGCTGAATCTCAAGCAGGCTTTTAATTGATCATTCACAGAGGCAGAGCAATGTGCTTTGGGATTTTTTAGATCCTTATTACTGTGATAATCAATAAAAAGTTGCCTCCCTTCTGTCAAACCTTTGCAAATGCTGAGTGTGTTAAGCAGAAGAGACCTAAACTGCGTGGAACATGTGCCTTTTTTTTTTTTAATTTCCATCTTTTAACCAAGCTATCGTAAAACTAACGAATCTTTTAATCCTGTCCTAAGAACAGAAGGCTTTTCACAGGGCATGTGTGTCTGTATTGATCCAGAATTGATTGGGGGGGCAAGGCAGTTTGTTAGAGAAGCCTTGGTAATAGCCCATTAAAACAAAATTAAGTCCCAAAGCAGGTGTTCATGAGGAGTCTTGATTGTTGCAGTTGGTATTTTTGTTAGTCCCTTGAAATTTGTCGTAATCTCAATAATATGCTGTTCAAATCAGATTGTACTTTACAGCAGCACACGGACTCCTCTTCTATCAAAACTTTTGCAAGTTACTAAATGGTTGAAGTCTTGTTTCCCCTCTGAGAAGAAGAAAAAATCAACATTTTATATGCTGAAAAGCTTTTCATTTATAAAGGAGTATTTAATTACTTCTCTATCTTTATGTTCCTTCAAAAGAATTCAGAAAATAACTTGAAAAACAAGAAACCAAGACCCCCAAAATGTGTCACTAAAGGAAAAAAAAAGTATTTAGAAAGTAAAGCTAGTTATTGTAAAATATAAGAAAGCTACTTCAGTTATTACAGTACATTAAAAACTATTATTTCCCGACTGTCTGTCAGAAATTCTGATGAAAGAATTGACTTTGAAAGAAAAGAATTGTAGTCCAGAAAATCATGAGGTGGAGGTGTAGTTTTAGCTTTGCATCTGCTTGTTGCTCCATTACCTTTTGTGCTCTAATGCATGCTGTTAAAAGGTGGTAGCACAACATTTGTGCAAGAGCTTACTGTTTTATTGAGGAAACTCTTTTGGACCTGATCCTACCCTAGGAAACAGGCAGCCAGAAACACTTTGTTTTCTGCTGTTTTCTGCATAATGCTGTGAAATCTGATAAGCAGAACAGGGCTCATCATGGTGAGAACGAGATGCTATTCTCAGTTTTGTCCCAGAGAGCTTAAACTGGAATATTTTTCGTCTCTTACGGTACTTCCAGCCACAGTGAGCTTGCAGTGCTGCATGCTGGGTGGGTGATGCTCTGGGTGAGCCTGTGCCACCCCACCCTTGTGCAGAGGCTGAGCAGAGAGGCAAAAATGTCCCTGGATCTCCTCACACCACCCGTACTGTGAGGAGAAGTGCCCAGTGACAGGGTAGAGATAATGCAGTTAGGAAAGTGCAAAAGAAATATGTACAGGAGTCCGGAAACCTCAGTCTCGCCACATTTGGTGTGTGCACAGTGTTTTGGACATTTGGACAACGTGGGGAACAGGTCTGCAAAGTTAAAACGGGATGAGAGTTGGCTTTTGCTTTCCTTTGAATGGTCATTTCCCGGGCAAAGTTAATGAACGATGCCTGCAGGTGTCTATGAAGTCAGGTTTTAACTTCGGGTTCTGTGGGAGTGGACAGCAGTAAGCAAAGGCTGCTCCCCACACCGAGGGTCTGCAGGTGGGAATTCTCGAGTCGGGCTGTAGCAGCGCCGGCTCCTCAGCCCTGCATCTCACTTTGCTTCCCAGATACCAGGTGGGGTTAATGCCGTCTTTTGTAGGGCTGTTGGTATGGTGGGAGAAAGGGTCTTTTAAGGTTATTTTTGTTGTTGTTGTTGTTATAATTGTAATTGTCGTAATTATTTCTCCTTATATTTTTTCAGGCAATTTATGTGCAGCTGAGAATGCGTACTGTGTGAGTGCTAGAGTATGTGCCTGAATTTAGTCCAAACTGCGTTCTCAGCGGTGTGAAAATATTAGGGTACTTTCTGAATAGCTAAGAAAATGGAACACGGAGGTTGTGTCAAAATGTCACTTCATCAGTGCAGGGAGTATGTGTACATGTAATCAACTTACAGAAACACTGAGCATTTGTCGTCTTGGCCTTTGTGGCAGAGCAGCTCCAAGAATGTTGACAATTATTTGAAGCTTAAAAATGTTAATTTTGCTCTTGACCACCACTCTAAGGAGATAGCACTGGTAAGAAAAATTGAATAATTCAGCAAATCATTATGCGTTTAGAATTATATGTTTCTTTTGTAATAAAGTCGATGGGAACATGTTTTCTTCTATTTTACAGTACCTTTCCATAAACAGATGAAGGATGGGAAAGTGAACTAAGTCATACTTCTCTTTGTTCAGTGAGACTTAGATTTCTAAATAAATCGCTTTCTTGCAGTACAAAACTTTGTTGATAAAACATTTAAATTTGGGTGGGACAGGGGGAAATGGCATGGTCTGACTTACAGTGGTGTATTTTTTACCTGTAGTTGTTAATGGCTGCAAGTACAGTACTGATTGCAGCAGTTAAGTGATAACACAGTTTGAGCTAAAATGTTTTCATCACATCTATGCAAAAAGCACTGTTGCTGATAAGGTTTCTGAATCAGCCCAAAGAACACAGTTAGTACATTGAAAAGTCATTAAGGGAAAAGGGGCTATAAAAATGTTTCAGATTCGATCTTTGCAGAATCTCTTGCCAAATTTTAGTAATTCCATAAATCAAAGAATGCCAACAAAGATCAAAATTGAGGAAAAGCAAGCCAGCTAGCTAACAAGACGTATATGAACCTGTTCAACAATATTCTCAGAGAAATAAGCCATTTTTCTCAGTGGGAGTAATTTAAAGGAAGCGGGAAACAAGGATCAGTGTATCAGCCCAGCCTTTCAGATCAATACTGATAAGAGCACAAACAAGAGTGGAGTATGCTTTTTCTCTCTCAGCTCTATGCTTTCACCATCAGTCTACTTAAGCTTTTTGTACACAAGTATGTCAAGGATGATATCTGGATGGTCCTTGTAATTTTTTATAATTTGCAAAGAGTTCAAGGTGACTATGGAAGCAGTAAAACAGCAATATGAATTTTCATTTCAGTTTTAATACAACTGGGGATTCTCAAGGTAGTAATTACTTTCATCTTTTTAATTTTTGTACTGCAGTGTCTAGTAAGTGAATACCAGCTTACTGATAAGTCCTAAACTCCTCATTTTAGTGTGTGGTCTGTAGGCATGCAAACCATAACAGATGGGGGAAAGAAAGATTTCAGGGAATATATTTTAATTAATAACTCTGGTAGTATACGGGCGAAATTAAAATACTGAATAATGGTCTTAAAACACAAGTGTCTTTGTGCAATAGCTGCAAATGGCGTTTTCTGCCTACAATGTGTAAGTCTGTGGTGGATCAGGAACAAGCTAGTAAGGAACATCTGGTATACAGGCATAATTTG